AGAGAGAGAGAGAGAGAGAGAGAGAGAGAGAGAGAGAGAGAGAGAGAGATCTATTGTATGTTCACTTGTGTTATTGTGAGTGTTGGCAAACTTTCTCACAAAAGTGTAGCGTTTAGTTTAGTTAGCGTTTGCTTTCTCTTGTAAGCATCCCTTCCCTCCTATGCCTCGTTTGGTTCCTTTACTTCAATATACTATAAGATTTAGGCATTGATTTGTTGTTACAAACTATGTTTGCAGAGAAACTATTGTCGCTATTGATCGCTATACTCATCGCACAATAGCTTCAAAATAAGTTTTTATACCTTATTTATAGGTCACATAAAGTTGGTTTGTTTGCTGTCTGTCCACCACTACTGTCTGCTATTTATATTAAATGCATTTTTCATTGAATTCATGTCTTTCCTTTCAAATTAAATTTCAATCGAAGTGGTCGACCGCTGGACCACCTTCTGAGTTGGTCTCAGATACCACAATGTAATGTAATGTCTATTATGAATGCGGCTAATAATGTGTGCGATATATTTATACATAAATATGTTTATTCAAAATATAGTGCAGTATATGACTCAACAGAATCACTATTTTATGATTTAAATTCTGTTTTCAATACAGCATTCATATAATGATTACAATAGGTTTAGGTATTGATGGCTTCATCGGCGGTTTACAAGTCGTTCAGTAAGAGTACATACACTGCAAGCACTGGTTTATTGCAAACCTATTGCTTAACTCATTTGCAGAGAGAGAGAGAGAGAGAGAGAGAGAGAGAGAGAGAGTGAGTGAACAGAACACAGAATAATGCGATCAGAGCTCACACTGAGCTTCACTACGGAATACCAGTTATATATAATATAAACATATTATATATAATGCTTATAAAACATCTCATTTTTACCACAAAATATTATTCATTGAATGTCTTGCACTGCATTGTGATCGTTGTGTTTGCATTTGTAAAGAAATGCACGTTTTGTGCATCTATTGGCACATTATTGGCATTGCATTAGCACTGAATCTCTATAAAGAGATGTCAATCGCTCACTCCATACGCGTGTTTCCATTAATACATTAACATATCTTTCACACAATTATAGCCTAACGTAAACTTTATCCACTTTTCTTCACTATTATATGCGATACCAAACTCTATATGAATGTTTTGCAAACATTTTAATGTCTTCTCCCAATCGATTCAAGAATACTTTAATTTAGTTTTATATAAACAATATTAATATAATGTGTTCATTGAGAGAACAATAGAGAAAAACATAGCATAAAGAGAGATAAGAGTTAAATATTGCAAATCTCAAGAGTGGATACAATGTAATGGTTTTGAGTGCCTCAATGTCTGATTGTATGTATTTAGAGCCAAATGACCAATTGTTATAAGAGATTATATTGTCCTACAGTTGCACTCCTTATAAATACATTAAACTAAATAACAATTAAAGCCAACAAAATATGCAGTGAATTGAATGAATGGATTGAAGTGGGGTTTGATTGTAGGACTGCTTAACTCTATTAATTATATAAACATATTATAACTGTTCAAACATATAGAAGTGTAACTTAATATTCTCATTGGATTTGCATTTAATCAAAGCTTTTAGATGTGTTATTATGTTATATGCATTAAATATTATATAATAGCAAACTTAGACTGATGCTAAAGTCTGTGAACTACTGAAAACTGTATGCAAAGTTCACCCAAAATGCTGACATCCCCTCCCAGCCCATTCTCGAATAAATGGCAATTTTAGTGAGTCTATTGGCGAGTGCATGGGTTTATCATTTAATATTTGATCAGTGAATGGGATATTTTAACCTATACTTTACTATACTTTACTCCACTCCACAGTACTGTATATGGACTTAATATAAGAAGATTTCAACTCAAGTGCATCTCAAGGGATTGACGGCATCACAACATTTGGGATCCAAACAAATCACTGCAAAGCCATGAATGAATCAAAAGATACTCTTTTTTATATTCAACTAATGATTAATGGTATATGAAATTTGACGTCGTTTTAAAGTCAAGTACTAAAACGCATTGCAGTTTACAGTGTATGGTATATACAGAACCACTTTTCAACTATTCTTCCCTTTCATACAAATCTCCAAATTTACTCAACATTTACTTCAGTTTACAGTAGACTTCATTTAAAACGACTTTCTTTGATACAACTTTCCGTACATACCATACATTGGATAGATTTTCGGCTCTTTTCAAACCAATTTTGGATTTTATTTTATAAATTTCTTTTAAACATAATTTTTAGACTTATATCAAAATTGTCTCCATTTTAAATGAAATATTGATATAGTAATCATAAAACTAATACTTTTAGCATTTTCTTTAAATCTGTGGTTTTATCAATAAATATCTTTTTGACATTCATTAAAATCTAAACAAATCTTAAAATTATTTCTTCAATATCTTAATTATCTTAAATAATTGTCATTTTTGATTAAGAGCTAAAGTTTTGAGTATTAAAAGAATATTATTTAAAAATATAAATAAATCAAAAATATACACTAAAGAGAATTTATTGTTTCCATTTCTTTTACAATACATTTTTATAATGCATTTAAATAAAATATATTTCCAAAGAAATGTTGAATTTAGTGCTATAGTACAACATTGCCATACATTTGCTTTGATATAATGGTTAAAATTTAAAAGCTT